AGAGCAGCTGGTAGTTTCAAACTGCTGACCTTGATGTTAGCAGCCCAACTCATAACCACTGTGCTAACAGAACTCCTTGGTAATTAGTAGGATAGTGTATAAAACTAAATGTGATTATAAAGACAGAAATTTGTGTTAGACAGTAGATGATTTATGCATATATTTTGCTTTTATGGCATTTAGCAATCTAATATTTGACATACATTATGAACAAAATTTAGTATTAGGTATTATAAGTGATATTTAAAGTTCATCAAATGAAGTTAATAACCAAGTGTTGATAATACTGTCAAGTTATTTTGGAAATGCTGTTTTAATTTGGGTTATAGGTGTTTAACATCTAAGAGTTATTATTTAATTGCAGAGTCCTGGTGTGGTGCTGTAGGTTAATGTGCCAGACTGCAAAGCCGTTTGAACTGCAAGATCAGCGGTTCAAGCTCACCAGTTGCTGCTTGGAAACTCTCTACAGGGTCGCTATGGGTCGGAACCGACTCAATGGCACTTGACAACAACAACAACATGACTGTAGGATAAGCACTGGACTGCAAACCGGTCAGTGGTTTGAGCCCACTAATCACTCTGCAGGAGAAAAATGAGAGTTTCGCTCTTGCAAAGATTTATAGCCAAATTATTTAGTTTGGTTTAGTATATAAATGACAGTTGTTATAAAGGCCTCTAGCCTAAGATACTAGTTATGGAAAGCATAGGAACCGGCCAGTTGCCATGAGTGTGTCAGAGTAGACCTGTGCTCATAGGGTTTCCAGTGGCTAAGTTTTTTGGAAGTAGATTGCCAGGCCTGTTTTCTGAGGTACGTCAGGGTGAACATTAACCTTCAACCTTTTGGTTATTACCTGTGCATACATTGACCATTTATTTTACACAAGGACTTATAAACAAGACTGTTACTACAAATTCCTTTCTTGAAGCATGTTGTTGTTATGTGCTGTGGAGTTGGTACTGACCCATAGTGACCCTGTACAGGGTTTCTGTGGCTGTAAATATTTACGGGAGCAGAATGTGTCATCTTTCTCTTGCGGAACTGCTGACCTTGCGGTTCACAGCCTGAATCGTAACCACTACGCTACCAGAGCTCCTTAAGGGGCTTCAAAAAGTTCTTGGAAAAATTATATAGTTTTTCACACTCTGAAACAATTATCTAATGAAACAATTTTGATTAGACGTTATTCAAATGTAAGTCAATAAAATCCATGGTGGTTTTTAAAAATATCACAACTAGTAAATTCTTCTGTGTGGTTTAGGTCATTTAATCCATACTAGTTTATTTTCATGATCCCAAAGGAGCTCTGAATTCCTGGTGTGGGCGCTGTGGGCCAATGTGTCAGACTGCAAAATCATTTGAACTGCAAGGTGGTGGTTCAAGCTCACCAGCTGTTCCTTGGAAACCCTATACAGGGTCGCTATGGGTCGGAATCGACTCGATGGCACTTAACAACAACAACAACAACAAAAGAGCTCTGGTAGCGTAGTGGTTACAAATCAGGCTGCTAATCTCACAGTCAGTAGTTCGAAACTACCAGCTGTTCTGCGGGAAAAAGATGAGGTTTTCTACTCCCGTAAAGATTTACAGCCTCGGACACCCTGTATACAGGGTCACTATGAGTCAGAACCGACTCCACAGCACATAACAGCAACAACAAATGTAACTTTAAGGAGTCTTGGTGTGTGGTGCTGTAGGATATGCACTGGACCAAAAGGTCGGTGTGAGCCACAGGCCCACAGTTCAAAGCCACCACCACACCTGGGTGGCTATGAGTCGAGACCGATGGCACTTAATAACAGATGTAACTAAAGGTGACCTGGTAGCATAGTGAGTTATTCATTGGGCTGCTAACTGTAAGTCAGCAGTTTAAATCCATCAGCCACTTCTTGGGAGAAAGAGGAGACTGCTCCCACAGAGATTTGCAGCCTCAGAAACCCTGTTGAATTGGGGTCACTATGAGTTAGAACTGACTCCATGGCACACAAGAAATGTAGCACATGTTTAGATTTCTCAATGGGTACCTGAATAAGGAGCCCTGCTGTGGGTTAATGCGCCAGACTGCAAAGCTGTTTGAACTGCAAGGTTGGTGGTTCAAGCTCACCAGCTGCTCCTTGAAAACCCTATACAGGGTCGCTGTGGGTTGGAATCAACTCAACGGCACTTAACAACAACCTGAATAAAAGCTGTTTTCATTTTTTGTGTAAATTCTCATCTTCTGGCAACTCTGTAGAACTAGTATCTTTTGTTGTCATTTAATATATAATTCTTTATCAAGTTGCTACTTTTAATTCTGGCACTATTGTCCTTGTCTAGTTGAGATAACTATTTTGTACCATAAAGCATTTCCTGTTGTTTTAATTCTCTGGACTATGGTAGCATAAATTATGAACTTTAAATTATTTTTAGGTAAGGGTACTATTTTTAATAATTGGTTAATTTGAAGAAAAATTTTCATCACTGTCTGATGGCATAAAGCTTTGTGGGTGTCCCCATGGTGAAACATAATGGTGAACATACTTGTTAGTTAATGTGGAAGTCAAATGGATAGAAACCTTAGCTTGAAACTGCTGGAGTTTTTCTTGTGTACTTATGCACTCTTTTACTTTAGGCTGGCTGGTGAATTACTGATTGATATCAAAGTGCCCAGCATTTGTCTGTCAGTTTGTCTGCCATGCCACCTGTATTTCCAGTGCCAGCAGAGTCACCTATGGTAGGCAGGTTTCAGAGGAGCTTTCAAACTAAGATACACTAGGAAGAAAGACCTGGTGAAGATTAGCCAGTGAGAACCCTGTGGATCACAACCGAATGTTGCCTGATCATAGTGCTGGAAGATGAGTTTCCTAGGTTGGAGGGCACTCAAAATTCACTGTCTGCAAAAATGGAGTCCAGTGTGAAGATGGCAGAAGTGGGCAGTGTGTAATTCTGTTGTATATGGGATTGCCAGGAGTTGGGGTTGACTCAATAGCAACAAACAATGTAACGGGTTGGAACACTCATTTTACCCTTTTCCCATTTGAAATTCAGATTTTACTCTTGCACTTCAATTGCTTATTGTGGGACCAGAAGTGATTCAAAGTAGGGTTCCTAGACCTTCTAGCCTCCTTTATTGAGAAGCATAATGGTGTTGTGTGCCTTCAATTCATAGTGATCCTGTATAGGGTTTTTGAGAATGGCTGGTGGGTTTGAACTGCAGTTAGCAGTCCAGTGCTTATCTTATAGTGCCACACCAGAGCTCAAGATGCATAATGTTGTTAAGTGCCCTCCAGTCATTTCTGACTCATAGGGACTCTGTATAGGATTTCTGAGGAGTGGCTGCTGGCTTTGAATCGCTGACCTTGTGCTTAACAGTCTAGTGCTTATCTAACAGAGCCACTGGGATTTCACTTCCTGTTGAATACACAGACCTTGGAAGCCTATCAATCAGCTGTCCTATAAATTTGGAAATGCATGGTTTTTGTACATTATTCCGCGACTTTGACATCATCTTCCCAAATAAATAATTATCCAAAATAAAAGCATTAGATGAGTGTTTGCCATAACACCTTTGATGTCCTCTAATTGATTGTATCAAAGGTGTTGTGGCAAACACATATATTAAATGCTTTTATTAAGATAAATTTTTTATTTGGGGAAGAAGATGCCATTGATTGTAAGGACACCTGGTGTGGCACTGCAGGGTAATGCGCTTGACTGCAGGGTTGGTTTGAACTGCAAGATTCGTGGTTCAAACTCACCAACCGCTCCTGGGAAACCCTATATAGGGTTGCTGAGTCGGAACCAACTAGACAGCACTTAACAACAACAACTGATTGCATAGTTAGAAATCACTACTCTTTGTGCTGTGTGTAGTCACTGTGCCAGCATGTTTTCTTGCTGAATTAGCTGATAGAGGAAGCCAGAAAGATATGCAAATATTCTTTTGATAGTGTACTCTCTCCAAGACTGTCCAGAGGCCAGTTTATATGTAGGCTCCTGTGGCAGGGAAGGAATGTGTAATACACTTTCTTTGCACTTTGACCAGAGTGCATTGAGCTCTGACAATTTCACCTCCAAACTTCCCACTAGTCTCTTTAGTTAGATATGCTGGGGCATTATTCTGGCATACTTTTCTAGTCCTGGTGTCTAAATCATTGTCACTAGTTTAGGCAGATAAGAGGAATCACTAGTAGCCAACAGTAGGAATAAGTATAATGTTCCTGAAATGCTAATAAAATTTTTTACAAAGCAAAATACATTACCTTCCTCAGATTCTATAAACCAGTGAGCTCATTTTCTTCTTTACATACAGATATAAAATGCTTTAAAACAGCTTGTCTTACCTTAATTGCCTGTTTCCCCATTGTTTTTGAAATTACATGTAGTATTGCTTGGGATGAAAAGCAATATAGTTCATAAATAAGTCTCCATATATTTAGTTAGTAAATAAGCTGCTTCCTGTGGTAACCATAGGAAGTTAATTCATCTAATCAAAATTTACTAAAAGAAATTGCTTAAAGCAGATGTGAAAGTACATGCCCTCCTTGCTTTGTCCTTGACTCATACTAAGTAAAATGATTAGTCAGCATCTCAAGCCCAGCATCTAGCTTTGTGTTTTTGTTTTTTGTCTCTAGCTTTCTGCTCTAGTCTGATAAATGCAACTATTAAAGGGTCATTGTAGTTCCTGTGATCTGGATTCTTGGTATGCTTAATGTTTCATTTTGCCTCCGTTTGAGTACCAAGGTCAGGAACCCAGTCATTGATACAACTAAGTAAAACCCTTTCATTCTCTTCCTCCCAGTTTACCAATAGCCTTTGTTGTTTCATATCTGATGCATTTTAATATCACAAATGGAGTCCTGGTGTGGTGCTGTGGGTTAATGCACTGGACTCCAAGGGCAGTTTGAACTCTAAGGTCGGCGGTTCAAGTTCGCAGGCTGCTCCTCAGAAACCCTATGCAGGGTTGGGCCTCTGACAAAAATGGTGCCTTTAAAACAAGGATACTAATCTTGTAGTAGTGTAGTGGTTACGAATCGGGCTGCTAATCTCAAGGTCGGCAGTTCGAAATGACCAGCTGTTCCGCGGGAGAAAGATGAGGCTTTCTGCTCCTGTAAAGATTTATACTCTAGGAAACCCTGTACAGGGACACTATGAGTCGGAACCAACTCCATGGTACTTAACAACAACAACTGTTGTAATCTCATGTGCTAAGCTGATAGGGCATGGAAGTCATTCTACAGGCAGAAACTGATTAAAATGTTTACATTGTGTTGGTTGTTAATAGTCAAGAACCTGAGCTACTGAATTTCCTCTTTCCTGGCCTCTTTGAAAGCATCAGATACTCTATCTTCATCCTATTGAAAGCATAGATAATGTTCTGAATGTGTTTGCCTCTTTTATTTGACATTAAGTTCTTTATTTTTTTTCAGTTGTACTTATTGGAGATTCTGGTGTCGGAAAGAGTAATCTCCTGTCTCGATTCACTCGAAATGAGTTTAATCTGGAAAGCAAGAGCACCATTGGAGTTGAGTTTGCAACAAGAAGCATCCAAGTTGATGGGAAAACAATAAAGGCGCAGATATGGGACACAGCAGGGCAAGAGCGGTACCGAGCTATAACATCAGCGTAAGTCTCTCACTCTTTTTTTTTTTTTCTTTTTCTTTTTTTAAAGTTCTGTGAAGTAGACTGCCATGAAGTGAATTAGCTGACTTGCTGACTTTAGTAATGGAAAAGATGTTTTGTTTTTCCTTTTAAGAATTCAAGGATTAAGATCTTGACGTTTACTTTTAAGTAGGTTTTAAATATGTAATCCATGTTTTGAGTTGTTTTTGGGATTTGCTTCTATTTTATGGTTTCTAATAGTTAAAGATGTGTTCTGTTTCCAGGTACTATCGTGGAGCTGTAGGTGCCTTATTGGTTTATGACATTGCTAAACATCTCACATATGAAAATGTAGAGCGATGGCTGAAAGAACTGAGAGATCATGCTGATAGTAATATTGTTATCATGCTTGTGGGCAATAAGAGTGATTTACGCCATCTCAGGGCAGTCCCTACAGATGAAGCAAGAGCTTTTGCAGGTTAGTGATACATATTCCATGCTATTGAGGTGATTCTGCATGTCTTTATGTTTGTGTTGCAAAAACCATTCTTGATTTCACCTTTCCAGTAAGGGTAGGAAGCTGTGGGCCAGCAATGATTAGTAGCTATAAATTTTTTTTTGGTTTTGGTGTTACAGAGGCTCAGCCAGTTCCTGGCCCCATTCTTGACTAGTGAAAGTTGTGGTTTTGCTGTAGTGATCGTGCTGTGAGTAAAGTTTTCTGTAACAGTTTTTTAGTTCCTCAGGCAAGAAACAACTTTATTTCCAAGAGTATAATTATAGAACTTATTCTATGTGAATAACATACCCATGTTCATACCATGGCTATGTCATTAATAGGGAGAAGTATAGAAGATGGGTAAACTTGTTGCCATCCAGTGATTCTGACTCACAGCAATCCTGTGTAGCAAGAGTTGGGAACATCTGGCCTGTGGGCCATTGAGTCAGGTCTGACTTACGATGACCCTGTAATTTACAGGGTTTCCAAGATTGTACATCTTTACAAGAGCAGAAAGCCTCATCTTTCTTATATGGAACAGCTGGTAGATTCAAACTGCTGACCTTGAGGTTAACAGCCCAGGTTGTAATTCATTACAGTACCAGGGCTCCTTATGGGGCGTATGGTGGTGGTGGTGGTGTGCCATTGATTGGTTCTGACTCATAGCGACCCTGTATAGGGTTTCCGAGGCTGTAAATCTTTACGAGAGCAGAAAGCCTCATCTTTCTCCCTTGGAACAGCTGGTAGTTTCAAACTGCTGACCTTGCGTTTAGCAGCCCAACTCATAACCACTACGCTACTAGAGCTCCTTTTGGGGCATTTAAGGCCCACAAAATCATTTGGTCAGGCCCTTCCAATGCAGTCTCAGTTCTAGCCATTTCATTGTTGTTAAAATGCTGTCAAGTAGGTTCTGACCCATAGCGACCCTATATATGGTTTCTGAGGAGCAACTTGAACTGCCAACCTTGTGGTTAAACTGACTCTACAGTCTAGCGCATTAACCCACAGAGCCACACCAGCCATTACATGAGGGGTGAATTAATTAAATGTTTGACCAAATATGTATATCCAGATGACCCTTTGCAGCAAAAAGGTTCCCCACCCCAGGCTGTAAATCTTTATGGAGGCACAAAGCCTCATCTTTCTCTGGCAGAGTGGATAGTGAGTTTGAAACCTTTTGGTTACTAGTCTAGTGTTTATCCTGTAGCACCACCAGAGCTCCTATAGAGGATAGAAGTTGTTTTTGTTAAGTGCTGTTGAGTTGGTTCTGACCCATAGCGACCCTGTGTAGGGTTTCCGAGGAGCAGCTGGTGAGCTTGGACTGCCGACCTTGCGGTTCAGAGTGACTTTGCAGTCCAGCGTAGTAACCCACAGCACCATACCAGGACTTCATAGAAGATAGATGATAGGGAATAAAAGTATCTGGATATATAATATATTCATTACATTTTGAATAGTATCTTTCATTGTTAGTGGTAGTATTCAGATATAAGAAGTGCTTATTTTAATGAAGAATACAGTGAGATTTTCTCAGTTATTTTTCATCTAACTTGGAGATAGAATGGTACCTTTAATGTCTGAGAAGTTGGGGTGGTTTTATAGTTTAGAAGGTTCTATTATTGAGTGTATCCCATCCCTTGTATTAAGACTTGATGTGACTAGAGTTTTTGTGTGTCTCCACAGAAAAGAATGGTTTGTCATTCATTGAGACGTCTGCCCTAGACTCTACAAATGTAGAAGCTGCTTTTCAAACAATCCTGACAGGTAATACTTTCACTTGCAATTCAACCACTAGGAATGGAAAGTTTTAGGGAGATACTTTCAACAAATTAATCAGAAAATGGAAACTCTATATGAAGCCATCTGACGGTGACTGTCATTTGAGAGCTACCATAGTATGTGCTCCATACTTCATGGTTACAGAGTTCCACATAAATATACTTTATGGCTGTGGAAAGATACAACGTCCTTTTGCAGTAAAGAAAGGCATTCTTAGATGTTGCAAAAAAAAAAAAGCTTGGGAAAATTTTGTATGTAAAAATTTAAATTACTGCATAGGGTTTCCGAGGCACTTCTGGTGAGCTTGAACCACCGACCTTGAGGTCCAAACTGACACTTTGCAGTCCAGCACATTAACCCACAGTGCCACACCAGGACTCCTTTTAAAATACATTTAAATTGTATATTTTTTAGAACTTTGGTTGTACACTTAATATGTATTAGTCTTATGTTGACTTGTAAAAAGTCTATATGGATAAATGGTTGAAAGAAATAAGTCTCCAGTGATAATGTAACAAGATTTTAGTTTACTCTTGTATATAGTATTTGTAGTAGAGATAAAGATTTTTACTTTTAAATATTATATTTTAACATAAACTGTAAGAAGTAAAGCCTCATTAAGAGCATGGATTTGGAAGCCGGATTAGGGTTTTAGTCCTGGTTTCTCTGCTTCTTATGAGCTCTATAATCTTGGACCCTTTCTAGACCTTACAAATAAGTCTGTCTTCTGTAAAATTCAATGTTTGGGGAGTTCTTTTTTCAGTGATCTATAGATACCTTGTGATATAATTTGACTTGACGACTTGGTTGTAACTTGAGGTATTTTTGTCTCTATAGCCTACAGAAAAGAATGGTTTGACACAGGTGGTGGTTATATGCTATGGAGTCTGTTCTGACTCATAGTGACCCTGCGTAGGGTTTCCGAGACTATAAATCTTTACAGAAGCAGAAAGCCTCATCTTTCTCCTGCGAAACAGCTGGTGGTTTCGAACTGCTGACCTTGAGGTTAGCAACGCTACTCGTAATCACAACACTACCATAGCTTCTTGATTTGGTGCTAGACTCCAGAAATGAGTACGTGAGATACTATGTTTAAAGTTCTTAGCTAGTTTCTGGTATATGTTGTTGTTAAGTGCTGTCACGTCTTTCACTCATGGCAACTCTGTATAATGTTTATGAGGAGCAGCTGGTGGGTTTGAGTTGCCAAACTCCAATAAATTAGTAGCAAAAATACTAGTTAAGGCATGAGAAAACAAAAAAAACCCAAACTCATTTAAAATAAAATAATCACTAGTGATTTACATACCTATTTTATGAGAATTATTATCTTATTATCAGAAGAATAGTAAATAAAAGAACTGGTGCTGGGGTTGAGTAAATTGACTTTGAAACACTGGTTTTCCTTTAGAATCTTCTGTGCCAAGTTTCACTACAGATCATTTAAAGCAGAGAGGATTTGATTTAATATGCAGTATGTCTGCAAATCCTACTTTCTTGCCTTTATAACCACCTGAATGAATTCTCTTGAGTTGACATGTAGAGTACTAAATTGAGACCCAAGAGTTTGCTCCTAATCTGTGTGTAGCTAAAGTCACTGAAGGGTCTTTAGGCTCGAAAATGAGTAAAATCACCTTGGATGTTTGTGAATCTTTCTAGGGCTCTGAAAACCTCACTTGGAAAAACTTTTTTGTCAATATTCATAGTTGGGATATATTTTTTCCTACCAAATCTCTTCTGCTATAATTCTAGCCCCCTTCTTCTGTTAGTAATTGAAGATGAAGCTAAGTCTGTCTTCCATGTCAGTTTAACTATTGTATGTATCATTTTGTAACATTGAATTGAATGTCTGATACATTCAAGCATGAACTAATTAACAGAGATTTACATTTAGGATTATAATCCTGGTGTGGTGATGTAGGATAAGCACTGAACTGCTTACCACAAGGTTGGTGGTTCAAGCCCACCAGATGGTCCTTAAACACCCTATACATGGTCGCTATGAGTCAAAACCAACTTGATGGCACTTGACAACAACATCCTTACAATTGAGCTTTTTTAGTCCCTAAAGATTAAAAACAGCTGTTTTCCTTAAAGTTTACCCTAATTATATCATCCGTTGTTGCTGTTGTTGTTAAGTGCTAGCTAGTTGTTTCCAAGGAGCAGCTGGTGAGCTTGAACCACCAACCTTTCGGTTCAAACAACTTTGCAGTCTGGTGCATTAACCCACGGCGCCACACCAGGACTCCATATCATCTGTTGCTACATAATGTTGTTTAAAAGCAAAGATGACTTTGGTTTAGTTTACAACCACTTTTCCTCTTGGCATTTGCTGTACCTCAGCTTCCTGCACAAATCTCAGTGTTGATATTGTTGATTACAGATAACTACAGGTAGCATCTGGCACCTGTGTTAATGAGTTTTAAGGATATTCTAAACTTTCCTTTCTTCTAGCTACCAATCCTTGTGTGGCACTGTAGTATAAAGCACTGGACTTCAAGGTCTGTTTGAATCGCAAGGTCTGCTATTCAGACCTACCAGCTGCTCCTCAGGAACCCTATACAGGGTTACTGTGAGTTGGAACTGACTCCACAGCACTGAACAACAACAACAACATAAACCAGTGAAGTATTAATATATTAAAAAAAGAAAAAGAGCACTAATTTCATTAGGCTTGATACTGCTTTAAATATTAAATTAGTATTAAGGAAACATTTATATTTTGATGTTGGTGAAAAAAAAAGCTTTCTAAATTTTAAGATGCAAAAATATGTATTAAAAATTTATCTGAATTATTATTCTAAAAGGAATTGTAATGTTTGTTTTGGAATAGACCTGCAGCATTCTTGACGTCACATTTGACAACTCCAAGATGTATAATTGTGCTGGTGATATTTTTTAGAGGCTTTCATTTTTTTAGAGTAGTAAGTATATTTTTACTAGGCGTAGCAGCTTTGTTCTTGTATTTGAAAACTCTTTAAATGCATGCCAATATATCAAGTCTGGTTTTGTCCTTCAAAGGTTTATATGGTGAGCAGTAGGTTGGAAGAAAACTTTTAAGACCTAGTAATACTGAGTTTAGTTTGGAGAATGTTTTATGCTATGCTCTGTAGTCATGGGAATCCAAATGAGTTGGCTGTAAATTTCTTCATACCATACTAAGCTCTATCTTTTCCTGTACTATATCTCATTTTGGTACATCCTCGATGGTTGTGTTTATTTTGTGAATCATTCATGATGCAAAATTACATTGCAACTAATAAAATATGTATTTATTGATATTGATAAAAGTTTTCATTTTCCCTTGTAGCTGAACATGATGCTTAGAAAGAAGTGATCCAATGTTAAGGATCTGAGGCCAGTATTTTTATGTATGTAGGTAAACAACTTATCCATTGCTAGCTAGTTCACTATGGGATTGATGTGTAGCTGTAAACTTCAGCTTTACCTTTAGATTTGAGATTGTTCATTATCAGATAATATCCTAACTTCTAAAACCCTTTTTTGATATTTTGTTACTTCTTGGCAGTAGTCTGTTTCTAGTTATTAAGTATGTTATAAAATATAGGATAAGTAACTTGGTGGGATAACCACTTCAGACTAATAATGTTGTCGTTAAGTGCCGTTGACTTAGTTCCGACCCATAGCGACCCTATATAGGGTTTCCGAGGAGTGGCTGGTGAGCTTGAACCACCAACCTTGCGGTTCAAAGCAACTTTGCAGTCCAGCACACTAGCCCACAGCACCACACCAGGACTCCTGGACTAGTAATACTCACTACCAAAGGCTCCTGGTTACTAGATGATGTATTGGCTGTACTGGAATATATCAGACCTCTTCTGCTTTTACAATTTTTGGAGAAATTGTGGAATTTTAACTCTGCCTGCTCCCCAATTTGGAACTGTTAGACTCCTTTGAATTATTTTATACCTTAATCTGTACTTCTGGGGTCCTGGTGTGCCGCTGTGGGTTAATGCACCAGACTGCATAGCTGTTTGAACTGCAAGGTTGGTGGTTCTAACTCATCAGTCGCTGTGGGTCGGAACTGACTGGACGGCACTTCACAACAACAAATCTATTCTATACTTGTATTAGAGTAGAAATGGGTGTATGTTCTTTTTATTTCACCTTAACTATAAATGATTGAGACTCATGGTGTGGTGCTGTGTATCAGCACTGGACTACGAGCCACACTGTGAGCAGTTCAAAGCCAACTGGTCTCAGAAACCCTATGCAAGGTCACTATGAGTCAGAACTGACTTGATGGCACTTAGCAACAACAACGTTAAACACTTTAAAATTGTCTTATATTAAGATTTTACTTTATATCAGGATCTCTTGTCAGAGACCCTGATATAAGAATGGTAATGCAGAATTCTTCTCTTTCTAACTGTATCTCCTCTTTGGAAATCTTAAAAAGTGACCGCACCAGGATTGGTATATGTCACATTCATGTTGTTCTAAAGGAGAATTTGCCCTTGAGAGGAAAATTCTTAGGTCTGGTTTCAAAAGTAAATAACTTTCTCTAATCGGACAACCCCTAGATTAGTACCTGCTTCTAACTTATCAAAGGTGGGTTTTTTTTTTTGTTTGTTTGTTTGTTTTAAAGTAACACACCAAGCCACAAGAGACATTAGTAGATAATGTATGGAGAGTTGTAGTGCTCCATAACTAATAAAATAATAGAATTAGGTAAAAGATTCTACTGGAAGAAAATTTTCTCCATCTTAATTTTCTGAGCAACACTTTGATTTGTCTTTGCCGCCTTGCTGGCATTTTTCATAGCAGGCATCTTTCTGGTGACTGGAGCCTATGCGCAGGCATCCATTTCTACCCAACAGTATGCAGTACTATAACAGTTATCCAACACTGCTCACGGGTCTCGTTTTGTAATGAGATCTCTTTAATTATTTACCTCCCTGTGTTCTCTGAGCAGTCTGCCTTTGCCTCTCTTACAGGATTGATTACACAGACTTGCTTTTTATGTA